GAGGGGTTCAAATATCCATGTCTCTTTTTTTGTGTTTTTTGGGCATGAAGTTTTGTCCTTGACTTGGCTGTGCTAAAGGCTAAGTTTTCATGTTTGTTTTTTTTGTGTGTTAGTTGGGGGCCTTTTTTGTGTTTTTTTTTTTTTTTTTTTTTTTTTTTTTTTAACAACCCCCCCCCCCTCCCCTTGCGTCACATTTTCTTTTTATCTAAATCCTTGCCTGCAAAAGCCTCTATCGACAGCTGCGCCGGCCTTATCTCGCCGGAGGGACCTTCGCGGGGCTCTCGGAGGAGATAAGCCCCGACTTATCAGCCACTGATGTCAGAGGAGGTGCCAAACCCTCCCCCCCCGTCACGGGGGCTTTAGTCATAGAGGGGGTGTGTGTCGGGGGGTTTTAAATTTATTTATTTATTTATTTTTATTAAAGTCACAAAGACCTTGGGCTTATAAATAGCGTGATGTAGAGATAGGGTTTCGAAATGAGCTGGCCTGGGGTGGGAAGGAGAGGCTGGAGAGGGGCTGGGGAAGGATGGAGGGGGGTGATGGTGTAGGATGCAGGACTGCGGGGTGTCCTGGGGGACCCTGGACTGGGTGTCCCCAAGGGACTTTGCTCATGGCATCCCCGAGGGACCCTAATCCTGGCATCCCCAAGGGACCTTGCTCATGGCATCCCCGAGGGACCCTAATCCTGGCATCCCCAAGGGACCTTGCTCATGGCATCCCCGAGGCAAGGGACTTTGCTCATGGCATCCCCAAGGGACTCTAATCCTGGCATCCCCAAGGGACCTTGCTCATGGCATCCCCGAGGGACCCTAATCCTGGCATCCCCAAGGGACTCTAATCCTGGCATCCCCAAAAGTGGGATGCTCTCCCCGTGTTGTGCCGCTGGCTGGGTGGCAGCAGGGACCATGGGCACAGGCTGGGCAGAGCCGGGGCAGTCGGGCAAAACTGCTGAGTGTTGTCTTTTCCTGCCACAAAAGAGCCAGAGCAGCTTGAACTAAATCGGATCCTGCTGATTGGAATTAGTTCAAATGCAGATGGAGCTAACTAAGCCGGCGCTAAGCGTTGGGGCAGCCCAGCGCCCAATTCCCATCAGCTGATTCAGGGGCTTTTCTGAGCGGCATTAACGAAATGCCACCGTGGCACAGATGCCCATTGTGCCGGGCGCCCACCCTCTCGCCTACGGGTGCTTTAGGGGGCCATGGGGTGCCCAGCAGGGTGCTGGGACAGAGGGGACAGTGTTGTGGGGTGTGTGTGTGTGGCACCAGGGCCCTCGTGGTTATGAAGCGTGGCCGTGAAGGTGGGGTGAAGCGCAGTGTAGCTGGTGGAAAAATCATCTCCGCCACGTGACGCTGGGAGATGGAGGCAAAGCTAGGGTCTGGATTAATTAGCAGCTTGATTTAGTTTGTGGGGTGGCTCCCACGTCTCTCCCCGGCTGATGCTGGTGATGCTCATGGTGGAGGTCGGGATGGCTCCGGGAGGATGCTGGGCTGTGCGTGGTGGGGCCCAGAGAGCGGTGGTGGGGAGAGCACCCCTGCCACCACTGTGGTGTCCTCAGGGCACCTGCTGGCACTCCATGGCCAAGGGTGCCCACAGCTCCTGTGACTGGCCACCAGCATCCCCCCTTCTCTGGGGGCTCAGTCCCAGAGCAGGGCTACATCCTCGTCCGGGGTCTGGATTAATTAGCAGCTTGATTTAGTTTGTGGGGTGGCTCCCACGTCTCTCCCCGGCTGATGCTGGTGATGCTCATGGTGGAGGTCGGGATGGCTCCGGGAGGATGCTGGGCTGTGCGTGGTGGGGCCCAGAGAGCGGTGGTGGGGAGAGCACCCCTGCCACCACTGTGGTGTCCTCAGGGCACCTGCTGGCACTCCATGGCCAAGGGTGCCCACAGCTCCTGTGACTGGCCACCAGCATCCCCCCTTCTCTGGGGGCTCAGTCCCAGAGCAGGGCTACATCCTCGTCCTCCCTCCTGTTGGTACCTGGATTTTATGACCCATTGGTGGCCACATCTTGCCCCGTGGGGTGGTTGGCCTCTCTGCTCGCCCCACACCACCGCTTTCTCCTTGCTCTTGGACTCTATTTTTCCCCGGGGACAAGCAGGGACCTGATGCTCATCCGGCATCCCACGAAGCCCGTGCCTGGGACACGGGGGATAGGGACACGGGGGACAGGGACACTGTGGGGGCAGCGTCCTGGCCCTGAGCTGGCCTCGCTGCCGGGGGAGGAGGTGACGTCTACCCCGCTAATCGGCCAGATGGTGCCAACCAGCAGGACACCAGCCCCCGAGGTCACCGCGTAGGTGAGGCTCAGGTACCCGCTGCCACCGTCCCCCGCGTGGCCCTGGGTGCCCTGACCCCGGGTTCAACCCCACCTCCTGTTGGTACCTGGATTTTATGACCCATTGGTGGCCACATCTTGCCCCGTGGGGTAAGCAGGGACCTGACGCTCATCCAGCATCCCACGAAGCCCGTGCCTGGGACACGGGGGACAGGGACATGGGGGACAGGGACACTGTGGGGGCAGCGTCCTGGCCCTGAGCTGGCCTCGCTGCCGGGGGAGGAGGTGACGTCCACCCCGCTAATCGGCCAGATGGTGCCAACCAGCAGGACACCAGCCCCCGAGGTCACCGCGTAGGTGAGGCTCAGGTACCCGCTGCCACCGTCCCCCGCGTGGCCCTGGGTGCCCTGACCCCGGGTTCAACCCCACGGGGACAGGGGTTGGTGTGACAGGTCCCCAGCATGGCCACAGCCGGTGCCACCACGTGCCAGAGGAGCCGGGGCTGCGTAATGAACCCCGAGTCCCGGCGGGGAGAGGCGAGAGCTGCCTGGCAGTCAAGTGCGCTCAGCCTCTGAATAAGAAGCACTTCATTCTCTTTTCAAACTGTATAATTTCTGCCTGATTGTAATGGCATATTTTAAAATTACCAGAAATCGAAGCCAGAAAATGGATACGGCTGCTTTTACTGCGAGCTGCGTTAACAAAGGACATGTAATGCATGAAATAAAAACACCTCCCTGCCCCCCTCCTTTTTTTTTTTTTCCTTTTTTTTTTTTTTTCCTTTTTTTTTTTTTTTCCTTTTTTTTTTTTTTTCCTTTTTTTTTTTTTTTCCTTTTTTTTTTTTTTTCCTTTTTTTTTTTTTTTCCTTTTTTTTTTTTTTTCCTTTTTTTTTTTTTTTCCTTTTTTTTTTTTTTTCCTTTTTTTTTTTTTTTCCTTTTTTTTTTTTTTTCCTTTTTTTTTTTTTTTCCTTTTTTTTTTTTTTTCCTTTTTTTTTTTTTTTCCTTTTTTTTTTTTTTTCCTTTTTTTTTTTTTTTCCTTTTTTTTTTTTTTTCCTTTTTTTTTTTTTTTCCTTTTTTTTTTTTTTTCCTTTTTTTTTTTTTTTTTAAAGACAGTAATAGGAGAAAATTGGTTTTGAAACTGAATAAAAGTCCCTTTCAGAGGAAATCATTTCTTTCAGGGTACCTTTGCTGAAAGTAAAATAGTGAATAATGAAAGGTGGTTACATGATTGTCTTTCATTTAGAGAGCGCGAGGACAGATGGAATCTGGGAGAAATGCACGATTGGAATAATTGCATGGTAACAAGGCGCTTGTTGTGAAATTAGTATCTTAAGAAAGTAGTGAAAAAGGCTTTTACTCATGAATACTTCATTATTAGGAGAAAACAGCACAATTTGGGTTCTCCAGACACCTGCTTGGTATTAGATGACTTCCTCCTCCCTTCCTGCTCCTCACACCTTTCACTAACGAGTCTCTCCCTTGCCACCAGTTTGTAGTGTTGAGGGGGGGAACTGGGGAGGACTGGGTGAGATCCCCCCCAGCCCCCTTGGGCACAGCTTGGCCATGATGTTGGCATCCTGTGTGGGTCCCACCACCAGTGGCCATCCAACCTGGGGATGAGCCCAGAGCCTGGGACCCCCCTGTCTGATGGAGGGGGGCTCGGGGCGGGAGTGAGTGTCAAGTGTGTGGCTACCATCGTCTGTTGGCATGTTTCGAAGGGTGACATTGGACCATCGGGGCAAGGAGAGCCCTGGACACATCTCGAGGAGCATCCATCCCTGCTTTGCTGCTTGGCCAGTGGTGGCCACAGGCTCTGCCAGCGTGTCCCCAAGGCCACCACCGCCCAGGTACCCTGGATGCCAGCCCCAGCAACATCTGCCAGCGCCGAGGCATGAAGGCGTGTGGCTCCAGGAGGAGATGGTTGCCCCACGATGAAGTGATGAGCCCAGCCCTCACCCCCAGCCACCAGCGAAGGTTCAGCTCAGAAGCTACGACGCCGGAGGACGGGCACCACTGCCTGCTTTTCTGCTGCTCCTGCCCACCTCTCCCTGCCCTCTCCGAGTGGGAATATCGCTCCCCGCGCCAGCCGGAGCGGTGGGAGGGTGTCAGCAGCAACTGGTTATAATTCATGCCCTCCGCGGCGGCTCGTCAAGGATGTACAATTAGCGGAGCGGCGGCGGCGATGACTTTGGCCTGACCCCTCCAGCTTTTTGTCGAGCAGATTTCGGTGCCAGCTGGGAGCTGGCGACACATCCCAGCACCCCGAGTGGGATTTTTAAGGCCTTTTTTCCCCCAGCCTTGGCCGGAGCCAGGGGGGTGTCTCACCAGCTGGCACTGCCAGGAGCACGGCGCCGGAGGGATGCCCGGGCTCTGCCCCATTCCTGGTGGGAAGGGCAGAAAGCTTTGCAGGAAGCACAAATCACCCAGCGTGAGACCTTTGTATTTATTTTATATACATTCCTATTTATCTAAGGCTTTCGGAGTCATTTTATTTATCTCCAAAGGAGCAAAGGGCTCTGAGCAGCGAGGTTGGCACCGGGAGCTCCTTGCCTCCGGCTCCTCTGCTGGGTGGGCAGGAGGGTGGTGGGCACCGTGGTGGGCACATCCCCTGGGCTGACCGGTGTGTCTCCTCTCTCTCGGCAGGACGTGGGCCGGCAGTGGGGGTGGCACTGCCCCCCGGGAAGCCCAGACCATGCTGGCCTGTCTGCAGAGGACCCAGAACCCCCCATGCTGGCCTGTCTGCAGAGGACCCAGACCCCCCCAGCCCAGCACCTCCCCTGTCCCAACAAGGCGCTGGAGCCCCGCAAGTGTAAGTGCCCCTGGGGATGAGGGGAGAGGAGGGGGGGGGGTGTGCACCAGCTTTGATGCTGCTTCTCTTATTGAAAAAGACATTTATTTAACCGATAATTGTGGGGAGGAAAAGAGACAAGATAAGCAAATTAAATTGGGTTGCTCTGGTTGATAAGTCGAACTTTAGGAAATGTTGCAGAGCTGGCTGGGAGCGCGGCGGCAGAGGATGCTGCTGTCGCCTGCTCTGCAGCCCCCCAAACCTCCCCGGCCCTTCCCCCCCTAATTACTTTCCCCGTTTTGCCGCAGCTCGCCTTCCCCAGGAGCTGGCCTTTCAGATAAGCTGTAAACTAGTTACATTAAAATGGGATCCAAAAGGTCACTCCAGTAAAGCACCTGTCTCTCCCAGCCTTTGTCTCTCAATCCAAACCATGATTAAATGTATATTTAATGAGCCTGCTTTAGGCAGGCGTGTTTGACCTCCCCGGCTGGGAAAGACGCATTAAGATTCTCAAGTGATGAATGTGTGTTTTAAAGAGGGGAGTGGATATTTTTCTGCTGGTCTCAGTTGGATTTTTAAACATTGCTGGCTGAAGACAAATCAGCTGCTAAAGCTCTGCTTGTTAGTCTGTGACAGCCCCCGGGCATTTGTTTAATGATCTGTATTTTCCTGGAGATGGTTTTTTCCCCCTCTACCTGGGCACCCCTGCGCAGCCGAGCGAGCTGGGAGCAGATTTTGGGCCATGTCCCCCACCCTGGGGACCCCCCAGCATCGCTCCGGTGGGGCTTGGGTCCCGCTGGCAGCCAGGAGGGTTATTTTTTTGGGGTGAAGCTCCCCAAACTCCAGCCCAGCATCGCTGCAGGGAGCAGGTCACCCTGGCCAGAGGCAGGGTGATGGGTGCCCGCGGATCCTGGCATTGGGGAAGCACTTGTGTGTGCATCAGCAATTGTGGGGGTGGGTGGGATCGGAGCCCCCCGAGCTGTTTGCACCCGGACACCCATCGGGGTGCCAGCTCTCTGGGGTCTCAGCCAATCTGCCAAGGGGGTGGGTGTGTGTGTGTGGACCCCCGTGTGCTTGCGCCGCGCCGGAGCTTGCGGAGCCGCTGGGCTCTCCTCCTTATTAGTGTCTGGAAGGAAAACGGATGTTGCTCTTGTAAAATTATTCCTAATCCGTCACGGCTGAGCAGCGCGTGGCGGCGCAGGGCTGGCGCGAGGGTCCGGCTCCCGGCGGGCCTCGTTTGCCACAGGCTAATGAGCTCAGCCGTGCCCGCACGGGCCCAGACCCACAGGTGCTCTGAGCCTGGCAGGGTTTTCTGGAGACCCAGTTGTGGCTCAGAGCTGGGGACCATCTCCCTGTGGGGATGCTGAGGAGCAGCACCCTTGGGACGGGGCCCAGAAGCACCCTCCTGTGGATGGGGGTTGGTGCACCCCAGCATTTCCCACCCCACCAGAGACCCCCGTGGAGAAGATGCTAAAATAAGGAGGTTTGGGGAGTGGGAGCCCAGAGGTGGTGTCCCCACACAGCAAGGCACTCATCAGTGGGGAGAGCCACTCCTGGGTGAAGCCACCCACATCCTGGGAGGGGTCCCCAGCTCTGATGGGGGTACCCCCGGGGTGCTGTGGGGGTCTCTGAACCACGCCAGTGGGAGGAGGGTGGGTTGCAGAGGTCTGACCCCAAGGCAGACCCCATTAGATGTAGGGGAGAGGGGTTTTTGGCTGCTGGCACCCCATCCCTTGGGGCATCCCTCACTCACCCGAGATCTCTGAGGGCTTGTCCCCCTCCGGGACATGTCCCATGGGGTGGGCAGTGTGGGGTGGTGGCCACGCTCCCCGGCTGGTCCCCCGTGCCACGCTCACTGCCAGCCAGGTCACCTTAATCAAAGTTTAGCTGCCCGTATGTTTCCGCTCATTATGGGCAAATGCAGCACGTCTCGCTCCTCTCTGCCTCCCGCTAGTGCAAATTAAATTGCAGGTGACATCCAGGGCCACGCATCTGGGTCGGAATACCCTTTTCCTTCCCTTTTTTATTGATGGCACCTGCGGGTAGCGCGGCGCAGAGGGGCCGGTGAGCTGGCACCCGGGGACCCAGCCTTCCGCCGCCTCCTAAACGCCCGCGTAGGTAATCGACAAAGAGAGCGTTCTCTTAAAACCAGGCACAATTTAGAAGTGCCTCTGATTACTTAATTTGCTCCTGAGTATCTCAGTAATTATCTTTATGGGTCTTATTTCTGTCCTCTGGCATTGTTTCTGTCGATATTAAATGAGTCTGGCTCTCGGCACATTGGCCGTCTGGCCCGGCACCACTGTGAAATCCTATTATCCTGCCCGCGCCGCTGATTAATTTTTGTATTAATTTCACGTAAAAGGTGAGCTGACTAATTTTCCTGCCCGTGCTGGGAGCTGACGGCCCCGGTGCCTTTGCCCCCACCTCCCCGGGTTCTGCCCCTTGGCTCTCCTGCTAATTACCCTGTCCCCCCCCTGGTCTCCGTGCCCCACACACCGGCACGGCCAGGTCCCAGCAGGTTTGGTGCCTCCCACAAAATCCATCCTGATAAAAGCTGTAGGTGACTTTGCTGTGGTGCTCACTGTTACCAGCTCACATTTCCCTTGCTGGTGATCCCAGGGCTGTACCCATGGGTACCAGCCCGGCGTGGTGGCATTACATCCTGGAGAAGGATGCAGGAGGGTGCCCAGAGGGTGCCCAGAGCCCTGCCTGCCTCTGCCCGCCGAGGAGCAGGAGCCTGCGGAGAGAGACAGCATCCTCAGGAAAATATCACGTCCAATTAACTCCGGCAGCCTGGTCCCTTTTGATTTTATTCTGTGCGCATTACAGGAATCCTGAGCTTTATTTAAATTATAAATCAAATAATACCGCTCTCAGCTTGGCCAAACTCTTTGCTGCTCTTGCTCTCTGCAGTAATGTAGCGGTGGCTTATATTTAATTAAATGTTACTTTCTCTGTGCCCTCCTTCAGCCTGCGTGGCTCTGCCGTCAGCCTGGGGCTGGGGGTGAGGATGGGGGGGGTGCAGGATCCCATAAGGGGGTGGGATCCACAGGGAACTGGGAGTGATGGGGAGCTCCATCACCTCCCACCGTCTGCATCCTTCTGGTGGGGCTGGACCTGGACCCCCACTTTGTGCCAGGGGGGGGTCCCGTGGGACCTCATACCTCGCGAGGAGCAGGAGCCTGCGGAGAGAGACAGCATCCTCAGGAAAATATCACGTCCAATTAACTCCGGCAGCCTGGTCCCTTTTGATTTTATTCTGTGCGCATTACAGGAATCCTGAGCTTTATTTAAATTATAAATCAAATAATACCGCTCTCAGCTTGGCCAAACTCTTTGCTGCTCTTGCTCTCTGCAGTAATGTAGCGGTGGCTTATATTTAATTAAATGTTACTTTCTCTGTGCCCTCCTTCAGCCTGCGTGGCTCTGCCGTCAGCCTGGGGCTGGGGGTGAGGATGGGGGGGGTGCAGGATCCCATAAGGGGGTGGGATCCACAGGGAACTGGGAGTGATGGGGAGCTCCATCACCTCCCACCGTCTGCATCCTTCTGGTGGGGCTGGACCTGGACCCCCACTTTGTGCCAGGGGGGGGTCCCGTGGGACCTCATACCTCGGCCCCGTGGGGACAATGTAAGAAATGGCTCCTGGGGGGGCATGAGCTGGCGCCAGGGTCCGGCTGGGTTATTAAAACACTAATGAGGGGTGATGGCCAGGGCTCAGAGAGCAGCAGAGCGCTGGGGACCTGGCTCCAGGGTCACCCACACCTCTCTTCCCACTTGCCCGTGGGGGCTCTCATCAGTGATAAAAGTGTTTAATTGCATCTGGGATAAAGCCCCGTTTAATGGCTTCTCGTTACCCAATTCTACTTATTCCAAGGGCATTTTCATTAAAGTAGCTGCAGCAGGGCTCTGCTTTTGTACACACCCATAAAATATCATTTTAATTTCATGAGGGGTTACACATGAGTGAAATAAGATTAATTCTTTCATTTTCAGTTTCTGGAAGGGATCGGTTAATGATAGTTCTGTGTATTTATATACGTGCCATAAAAAGGAGTTCAATTAACTGCCGTGCCCAAAATGTGCTGTTGACTTGCACTTTCCCTGCCAGGAAACGCTGCAAAAACACTTTTCGATCGGTCACGTGGGCGGTGGGAGATGGATGGGCGAGGGGGGGGGTGCTGCTGAGGGCAACCTCTCCGGGTGGGACCATCTCCCACCGGGTCCCAGCCTTGGTCTTTGGGTGGGCTTCGCTGGTAACGCCCTGGCACACGAGAGGGGTTTTGGGTTGTGTCCAAACTTTCCAGGAATTCACTGATCTGTCGGCCGTGGAGCAGGTTCCTGGGCATCAGTGGGGCTGGGGGGAATGCAGACCCTGGGATGGGGCACCCGCTCCCCACAGCCTGTGCTGGGGGTGCCCACCGTGCTCCCCTTGGTAGGAACGGGGTGCCATGGGCAAAGCCTTTGTCTTAAAATTAATCAAATACTAATTTACTGTTGTTGATAGAGAGCATGGGGTGGGGAGCAGCTGGGCTGAGCTGGGACCTCATACCTCATGGTGGGGTCCCTCCTGGTGATGGGGTCCCTCTCGGTGACTACATGGTGGGATGGCATCAAGGGGGCACCAGGGCTGTTGTTGGGGCAGTGTTGGGTGTCAGAAGTGTGGCATCGGGGCAGTATTGGGGTGGCATCTGGGGGGCTGCCGGCCATGGTGGGGTCCCTCCTGGTGATGGGGTCCCTCTCGGTGACTACATGGTGGGATGGCATCAAGGGGGCACCAGGGCTGTTGTTGGGGCAGTGTTGGGTGTCAGAAGTGTGGCATCGGGGCAGTATTGGGGGGGCATCGGGGTAGCATCAGCTTGGCACTGGTGGGGGGTTGGTTGGGCATCAGGGTGGCATTGGGGCAGCAGTGGGGTGGCACTGGGGTGACATTGAGGCAGTATCAGAATGGCATTGGGGCGACATGAGGGTTGTGTTGGGGTGGTGTCACGGGGGGTCTTGGGGTGGCATCGGGGTAGCA